CTGAGAGAAGAAATATTAAAATAGTGTTCTTCTCTTTCTTTCTTTCCTTCTTTTTGTTACTTACAGCCTCACAGAAAAGAATGAATACATGGTTGCATGTTTGTGGCATGATTTTATAAAGGAGCTTTGCAAGGGGACAAGTACACTTCTGCTGCTTCTTATAGCCATTCCTGAGACCTCTCTCCTCACAACACATGCCAGCAAAGCCAAACAAACAAGGTGTTTAGGAATAACTGTCATCTACCAACACTGTCTAGGCAAAGTGGAGCTATAAAACACTGAGAAGACTGCACACACACACACAAGAAAAAATGACCATGTCACATGGTAGCACAGAGCAATGGGAAATGTGAATAGTTTGTGGAGGTGGGCAAACCGAAGCTCAGGGTTGCCCGATTGCTCCATTTATAGGAATAATGGCCACTTAACTTTTATCTGAGCCCCAGTTCCTCCAGCTGTGGAATGGGGTATCACCTCTGACCCCACAGGGCTGTTGTAGGGATTATCTGAGTTAGCATGTTCCATAAAACACAGTAAACTAGGAAGTGTAGCTGTATAGGCTCTGGGAATTTAACAAGCAAGAGAAGTATGACAGTAATCCTTTAGTTACTAAACCCTGTCTTCATACTGCAGTAGGTTGCATGTGATTTTCCTGCCTTGTCCCTTCCAATCACGTTTCAAAAAAGGAAGCAGTGGTGGAGCCTTGTGGGCTAAAGTGGTGAGGAGGGTGTCATGAAAGATTCAGGTTTAGGTCTTCCTCTTGAAGAATGGGTGCTTCTCGATGGGGAAGTGAAGGAACAACCTGGGAGTTGTCCACTTGAAGAAAATCCTGAGATGTGGTAATGGGTAGGTCCGAGGTCCTGAGTACGACCCAGCACAGAGCCTTTGCATGTGCTGTTTTTCCTGCCAGGAAGGCTCCCTAAACCCCTTGGCCTCACCTACCCCCTCCCTAGTTAAATTCCTGGCCTTCTTTTAGATCTCTACCCTCAGTACTCCCTCAGGAAGCTTTTTCTAACTTCCTAACCCACTCAAGTGCTGCTTATATATCTCCTTTGTAAGCTCTTCTCAGTTACACTTTTACATTTATTTGTGAGAGATTATTCAATTAGTGTCAGTCCCACTCTTTAATTCTCCATGGATTTATCATGCATCGCGTCATCCCCTAATTTACTGCAGTGCATAGAACTTAGGAGGGGCTTTGAATACTCACTGAATAGACAAATTTTGGTTATTAGAGAGATAATAGCCGAGGCGGGAAAGAAGGTTTATATTTGGGTCACTAATCACATTAAGTGCCAAGCACTGCATTAACTCGTTTAATCCTAAAAACAATCCTATGAAATGAAGTGTATTATTCCTTTTAACTTTAAAGACCGAGATGTTAACCATCTTTCCCTGTTGATACAGCTAAGTGGCAACAGCAGGTCTTGAGCCTGGCAGCCTGGCTTCAGACTTCCTAGACTTTACCACATTGTTCTTCTGCTTAATGTGGTAGAGGACAAAGCGAGGTGCACACGTGAAGTCAGGATAGATTTCCGTTTAGAAATTGTGCATTTTCCCCCTCCTCTTCTCCTCCTCATGATCATCATCATCATCATTTCATAAGAAAAGCTAAGCAGAAAAGGACTACTTCATGTGTCACCTCTTACATTCATGTTAACTCTGCATTCTGCCAAAGTGATTTGGCCAAATTTACCCAAAGAGCAAAGTGGACGTTTCAAATCCTGATTCCTAGAAAATTCTAGACTACGTATTGTCACCACCTTTGAAGCAGCAGCACATACTTTGCCCAAACATGACAGAATTGTTTTAAATAAAGACAAATAATTTGACTAAGATTGGTATTATCTGAGACCGCTAGTTTCTACATCATATTCAAAAAGCAGATCCAGCCTGTGGTCAGCAGTAGGTATTGTATCATAAAGCTCCTGGAAGAAAGTCTTAAATTTCATAAGAATGCCAAGTCCTGGGTATCTCCAAGAATGACAGCTGTTACTATAATAGCATAATTATTACTGGAAAATTAACAAAGTCCAATAAAGTGTGGCATGCAAAACAGATTTACCCTAGAAATAGAAGTGACCTAAATCAGTCGTTTATTCCAGCCACCTGCTTTAGATAGAACTTTACAAAAATAATCTCAGGACAGTCATATTGTTTAAAGATCTCTAGGTGGAAAAGTACCTTACAGTAATAAATTAATAAACAAGACAAGTTAATGCTTTTAAACCACTGTTATTTGCTGGGCATTGTTGTAAAGGTTTTACATGTGTTTATGTATTTAGGCCTCACATGAACCCTTTGAAATACTGTTATTACCCCCTTTTTACAGATGAGGAAACTGAGCAGTGCCCAGTCACACAACCAGTAAATGGGGAACTATCTTCAAGCCCAGCTAGTATGCCCCTAATGTCCATGTTCTTACAGTGTCCCTGGGTAGTTGTTTACTCAGTTTTGTTACTTTCGTCTCCTTGGCTTTAATTGAAAACTTTTTTTTTTTGGCTGAAGTCTCCCTCTGTCACCCAGGCTGGAGTTCAGTGGTCCAATCTTGGCTCACTGCAACCTCCGCCTCCCAGGCTCAAGTGATTCTCCTGCCTCAGCCTCTTGAGTAGCTGGGATTACAGGTTCCCACCACCATGCCTGGCTAATTTTTTGTATTTTTGTTGGAGACAGGGTTTCACCATGTTGGCCAGGCTGGTCTCAAACTCCTGACCTCAGTTGATCCACCCATCTAGACCTCCCAAAGTGCTGTGATTACAGGTGTGAGCCACCGTACCCGACCCAAAAGCTTAACTCTTAATGTTGAGTAAGAGCCTGCAATGTTCAGACTCATTGAAAAAACCTAAAAGACACAGTTGCTCTCTATAAAATTAATTTTCAAAGGAACCACTATTCAAAGAAGTAAAAGGGAGACTGAATAAAAAGAACTAAATTCTCCGTAGAACAAATGAACTTCTGAATTGATTGCAAACAGTTCTCCATCATCATGGCATCCTATGAAGCATGGTCTCCCCCATGTTGGAGTGCCAGTGTCTTCATGTGCCATATAACTTGCAAATAGTATCACTATTTTCTCTTCTCACATTTCAGTTTTCTTCTTTCAGTCAGTATTTTGGAAAGTCCACAAAACCCAGGGGGCTCCCTGCCCGTTGCCCTGTGGTCTGTGTGAAAACCAAATGATGCCATGCTAACTTGGACTCTTTCAAATGGATTCAACAGCACATGAGTCACTAGCAACATGTTCAGCTCCTTTGCCTCAGGGACTACCCAGTTCCTCATTCTTGCCACCCTTCAGTCATGAAGTAATAGTATGAAAAATACATGCGTACTTTTTGAGGATGCCTCACACCTCTTTCCTTCTGTGTCAGAGACTAATTCCCTCATAATGGTAACATCAAAGGAGCCAATTATTTGACGTGACTGGGCTTTAATTATGGATTCCTTCTGGTGTCCTGTTTAAGTGGAAAGCCTACCTGATTTCACCCAAATGAAAAATTGCCTCATGCCTTGCTGTCTTGCATTCCTGTGCTAGTGTCACTTAAAAGTGTAATTACATGGTTTATTTCATGTTCCTTTACTCTCTTCATTTATTATTGAAGATGTCCCTGTGGGATATGTCATAACAAAAACTGATTTCAGATGTCAACACCAAAAAACACAACTGGCATCAATAATCTCTAGGCAGCATCTAGGGACAGCAGTCAGCTTTGGAGCAAACCCAGAACTTCCCATTCCCTGTCCCTCATTTAAGGGCAAATACTTTCTCCTTGTTAAAAGGAAAGTACTGAGTTCATAATTAGCTCTATACCCAGAGTTTTTTAAAGTGTTATACCTATTTAAGAAATTATTTGTGCTTCGAGGTGGTCAAAATAAAATTTAATTAGAAACCTTCTTTGTAATTGGCTTGCTCTTGGGGCCCTGCTCTTTGAAAAGGAGGTTAGAAGGTTTAGAAGCAAACCTTTGTAGCAGTTCTAGCCAAGGTGCATGCATAGAGGGCTTGAGGTGGAGCTGCACAGGTGATTGTGAGTCTATCCTCTGTTGACGAGTGAAACTTCTCTCCCTTCAAACCCTCTGGGGAATAATGCCAACTCTGATCAGCTTTTCAACTCTTGGATGAAATACTAGATTGGGAAAAAGTCCCTACTAACAAAATCCTACCCAAACCCTGCTTCAATAAAATATGAATCCACTTGATGACGTTTATAGTAGAAGTAGGTTGGTTGAAAAGGATTCTGCCTCTTTCAAAGAAGTATTATTGGTAGCTTTAGGTTATTCTTCAAGTTTATATCATTGGGACTTCCATCAAAGAGTCATCTTTAAGTGTGATTCCCATCCTTCCTCCTTCCCTCCCTCCCTCCTTCCCTTCCTCCCTTCCTTTCTTCATTTTCTTCCTTTTTCTTCTTTCTTTGAAGCTGTGGGCTGTTTGTTCAGATAACACATTTCAAATTATTGCATAGTTGAGAGATTTGGGGCTTAGGTTATGTACTTCTCCAAAATTACTGTATGAGCTAAGGAGATAAGGTGACTAACTAATCTAGGTTTTGGCTCCAAAAGTCTTGTGTCCCAGAAAACCCCTCAGTCCTAGGCAAACCAGGATGGTAGTTCATCTTTTGAGGAAATTATAGTGCATTTCTAAGTATTTAGCTGAATTTATCACAGGACTCTGACTTGATAGGACTTAAGACGGTTAAAAAAAAGGTCTTTCCTGTTATGTTAGTATGATTTTAGTCTTGACACTTTCTCAAGGAAGGAATCTGGTCTACTGTAGGGGGCTAGATGACTAAGAAGAAAGGATATCTACTGTTTTTTGCTTAAAACGTCATTATCTCCTTTTTATTGGAGATAAAAATGCTATTTCCTTTTTATTGCTGCTGTCATTTTAAAGACATACCAATAGAAAAATAAATAGAAAACTCTAATTTTATTAAACAACAACAAAACAGGGTAAAATCTAAGGATTTGTACTTAAGGAGTGCACTTTTTGAATTGAAGAAACTTACTATGACCTGAGCGTATGTAACAATTATCAGAACTCAAAGAGGGTTACTGGAGGCCAAGTCTTCAGGCTTGAGTGTTTATAGCCAAATTTCAGAGCCAGGTCACTGGGCAAGACACTCTGTCTAACCACTGGGCACAGAGTTAGGATGCACTGTTTCTGCTTACCTCCCTTCTTCCCTTGATTTCTGCCAACGACCAGTTTCCTTATCAAATCATTTACTCAGTTTTTGTGACCAAGAATTGTGATGAGGGTGCAGAGGAAAGCACATCCTTGGTTAATAGGAAAGGAGGCTTCATAGCAACACAGCATCCTCTAAGATGTGTTGCTCCAACTTTCACAATACGTACTGTATTTTCAGTGGCCTGCTTCTTGGAGTGTATCTTCCTACTGCACAAAACCACCACCATTAACATTTTCATTTATTTCCACCCTGTCATTTGTTCATCACATACTTTTAAAAACAGGGTTGTAATCATGTATATGAATAATTTTATATTGTGCTTTTTATACTTACTGGCTTATCATAAATATTTTTCCATGTTGCTGGAGAGTCAGATGTGCTAACTTTTAAATTGTGCTTCTTATATAGATCTGCAACTATGTGGGACCAGCAAAGGTTATTGTTCAGTTGGTCACAAATGGAAAAAATACCCACCTGCATGCCCACAGCCTGGTGGGAAAACACTGTGAGGATGGGATCTGCACTGTAACTGCTGGACCCAAGGACATGGTGGTCGGGTAAGTGGGGGCATATGATGCTGTGGAAGGTAGGAACAGACAGAATATTGGACACGGGTATTTGGAATGAACAGGCCCCTTTCATTAGGGACTTTTCTGAGACCCTCAGATGGCCTCAAAAAACTATGTAAACTTGTGCTCTCATTTGGACTCCAAAGAGTAAGGTGACCACATGTCTGGATTTGCCTGAGACAGCCCAGTTTGCACCTGGCCTAATTGTTTATAGCACCCTCTTGTACTCAAAGGTGGCCCAATTTGGATGACCACTTATATGTGGTTATTTGACCTACAAGGTATTTGTGCCACTTTTAATATTTCCTTCTCCTGGAAATAAAAATAAAGACAAATTTAAAGAAACCTAACTATAGCAGAAATCATTACTTTATGGATAGTTTTACATTCTTGATGATTTCTTTAGTGGATTTATAGTGTGAATATTTGGGGCTTGAAGTGAATGAATAAATATCATTTCAGCTTGTACAGCTTAGAAAGTATGCACAGATAAGAAGCCAAGCAATGCAAATTTATCTTGGCATTTGTTAGGCTTGAAATGTAAGTAAAAAAATGACATTCGTTTAATGACTGGTCAGATAAAACAAGCAATATTTAATGAATGAAGTTTTATAGAAGTAATTTCAATCCAAAAGAATTAAGTTTTTAAATAAGACATATTTATTGTGTTAAAAAATATTTTAATCTTCCTAATACACTAAAATAGCACCCAGAATAGTAGTACAGCACACAATATAAACTGATATGTACAATCAGTAATAACTAAAAATTGTTTTAAGTCTTTCTTTGGGACTCCTTAAATGCAAAAGAAGAAATTTTTAATTAATTTTGTTTGATTTTTAAAAACATTTTTTAGGGTTTTCTAATCCTGGTTTAAATAGTTTATGCTAAAATCCCAGTTAATCTGGATTATTCACTCAAAGGAATTGTTTAAATCAAATAATTAAGCTGATGATTGCATTTCAGGCTTTGAATTCCGATCAAGTTTCAAGTTGGTTGTTATTTTGGAAGTTGTGGTTTCATGTTCCTAGGTATTTCTTTGTTTGACTGTGAACATATTTAAGTGTGAAAAACCTAGAGAGAGAGCTTTAAGTCACTAAAATCAGATTCTTTGATGTTAGGAAAAAAAGACTCTAGATTGAAGGAAGAAGCTTAAATTGATTTGAAAAATTCAAGTGTGCTTTATATAAACTTGTTTTAACATCCTCTTGAAGGACTGGCATGTTTCCTGTTGTATGTCACAGTTTGTTCATCATGTGTTGTAGAATATCCTTCCAGTTTCTGACTGATCTAGGAGAGCTTTGAAATGCAGGGTAATTGTCACAGTTTTAGACTAATTGATCACTTAGTGTTTCTGCAGATTTATTCCAGTGGGCATCTGTCAGTTTGAAGTGTTTATTTTTTTTGGTCTTGTTTAATCTGTATTATAATCATATCCTTTAGAGGAAATTTTTGATAAAGTCTTTTACTAATATTTATTATTATAAAACCTTCAGTATGTTGTCTGTAACTTGGTGTTTCTATGGTTTGGTTTAGTAAACTTTCAGGATTTTAGAATGAACTAATGGTTATTTAATTTGAGGCCTTAGAACGGGAATAGAGGTAAATTGTCTCTAAGGAAAGTGAGGGATTCTTTCACTCTTGTAGTGCAGTGGGATGTGGGCTCAGTAGTTGGGAGAACTCATCATTCAGTCATTCATTCAGTCAGTCAGTCAGTCAGTCAACAAACATTTTGAGCATCTCAACTCCAGAGTTTGATCATTATGATGTCTAGTTGTAGTGCAGTGAGATTTTCTAACCCTACAAAATTTCAGTGAGAAATTTGATCAAGATGCCACTTGAGAGTCACAATAGACTCAGTAGGCTTTTCTGTTTAGCGTTTTCTATGAAAGTCAGTACTCACTTTCTAATTTGATTTTTAGCTGAAAAATTTTTGCTTGCAATGTTTCCCAAAATACACTATTTCCTTCATAATTCATTTGTTTCTATCTTTCTCTATATAAACATTTTTAAGGTTTCAGTGTCAAAACTTATTGCATTTATGTAGAAAGAACATCATGCTAGCATTCTGGAAACCAGAATTTTTTTCCCATTACTGTCACTCTCAACAGAGGACTGAGGGCAAGTTACGTGACTTCTTGGGGACCTTAATGTCTTCCCTCACAAACTGCGAGAGTTTCGTTACAGAATCTTATGTTTAGGCCCTTTACGTCTCCAGAATTCTAGACCGAACTAACATTAGGTAATGTTATGAAATAACATGAGCAAACTTGCCAGGTACTTATTTATGATATAACATTGATTATTAGTATTTAGTTCTGACTTGTAGATAAGAGTATCACATAGAGAAACTTAGGAAGATAGCCAAAACTATGACTTGTCAATACTAGAAATGAAGCTAAGATAACCTGTATTCAATAATACAGATTAGGCAAAGCATCTGGATTCACAAGCAGGGCACTAGTCCAACACAACATAAAAGACATCTAAAAAATGGCAATGAGAAGATAACTTTTAAATTGTCAAAACCAAAAGAATCACTTTCTTTGGATTGTTTATCTTCACCTTTCTCTCAGTATGAATTCTTAATAAACTTAGTTTCTATTTTCAAAAGTATTTCATCTATATTATAAATATTCATATTTTAAATAACCCAGTCTTGATTATAGGTTTGATTGCTGTAGAGGATTTGTCATTTTAATGTTTTTTTTTAAATTTGCTTTTATTTTTTCTATTTCTTATTCACTTATTAGTCAGCCTTTACTGCCTTTCTTGGTTAAAAAACATTATAATAATCTTAGCTTGGTGTTTTATTTTAAATCCTGAATATCAACAATTTGTTTCAACCTATTTTAGTTCTGCGATATTTTTATTCCATGGAAAATATCTGTGTTCCTTGATTTTGCATTAGGCCAAATTCCCTCACCAGTAATCACCACACCCTCTCTGCTTTTTGGGAGCTCTGATTTAGAGATGTGGAATTTTTTTTTCTAATTAATATATATAGCATATACCAACTGGTAAGCACTAGAAGTAGCTATGTAAATATAAAAATACAGAGAAGAAAGAAAACCTTCTTCAGTGTCTGTTGTTCCCCTCTATGTCCGTGAGTTCTCATCATTTAGCTCCCACTTACAAGTGAGAACATGCAGTATTTTTCTGTTCCTGCATTAGTTTGCTAAGGACAATGACCTCCAGCTCCATCCATGTTCCCACAAAAGATATGATCTTGTTCTTTTTTATTGCTGTATAGTATTCCAGGGTGTATATGTACCACATTTTCTTTATTATGTTGTTGATGGGGAATTTAGGTTGATTCCATGTCTTTGCTATCGTGGATAGTATTGCAATGAATGTTCACATGCATGTGTCTTTATGGTAGACTGACTTATATTCCTTTGAGTATATACCCAACAGTGGGATTACTGGGTCAAATGGTAGTTCTGTTTTTAGCTCTTTGAAAAATCACCACACTGCTTTCCACAATGGTTGAACAATTTGCATTCCCAGCAGCAGTGTATGTGCATACCCTTTTCTCTACAACCTTGGCAGCATCTATTATCTTTTGACTTTCTAATAAAAGCCATTCTGACAGGTGTAAGATGGTATCTCATTGTGGTTTTAATTTGCATTTCTGTAGTGATCACCGATATTGAGGTTTTTCCATATGTTTGTTGGTGGCATGTGTGTCTTCTTTTGAAAAGTGTCTTTTAAACAGTCAATTACCTTTTAAAGAAGATTATTTTTAAATCAGGAAAAAGTAGTTTATATTTAACCACATACTTATCATTTGCAGTGCTCTTGATTCTGTTTCATAGGTCAAGATTTCTATCTGATAGCATTTTCTTCTGCCTGAGGCACTTCCTTTTATTACACTGCTGATCTGATGCTGATGAATTCTTTCAGTGGGTGTATGTCTTCACAGTTTTTTTTTTAATCTTATCTTTGTTTTTCAAAGATATCTTGAAGAATATAGAATTCTAGGTTGACAGGCCAGGCACGGTGGTTCATGCTTGTAATCCCAGTACTTTGGGAGGCCAAGGCAGGTGAATCATTTGAGGTCAGGAGTTCTAGACCAGTCTGACCAACATGAAGAAAACCTGTCTGTACTAAAAATAAAATATTAGCTGGGAATGGTGGCACGTGCCTGTAATCCCAGCTATTTGGGAGGCTGAGGCAGGAGAATCACTTGAACCTGGGAGGTGGAGGTGGAGGTTGTGGTGAGCCAAGATCACACCATTTCACTCCAGCCTGAGAAACAAGAGAAACTCCATATCAGAAAAAAAAAAAAAAAAAAAAAAAAAAGAAAAGAGTTCTAAGTTGACAATATTATTCTTTCACATCCTTAAACTATGTTGTTCCACTGTCTTCTGACTTGCCTTCTTTCCAAGAAGTCACCTGTCAATCTAATCTTTGTTCCTCTGTACATATTTTTT